GTACCGGTTTCGCGGCAAAAATTCTAAGGGAGGGGTTCAGTGGTTCCTCCTTTTTTCCAGTGACTCCGCCTCCAGACTCCGCCTCCAATGCCCGGCTTTCAGTGAAAAACGAGATTGCAGGACGAAAAAGCATGAAAATCGTCACTTGTACGATCGTAGAGTTCTTATCGGTGAATCAGCTGTGCGTATGAGGGCGTAGTGTGGGAGATAGAGTTAATTGTGGCACGTAACTCTATCTCCCACATTACGCCCTCATACGCACAGCTCACGTACAAACTGGGATCAAAATGGGGTTCTATCTAGGGCAGGTGGCATGTTTTTTGTGCTTTTTTCTTCACTGTCGAGTTACTCAACCCCTTGTCGTCTATATGGAACCCCCTAATCCACCATCTGAGATGGCGAATAATCGCGGGTTCTGCCTTTAAGGACACATTTCACGAATGAAATTTGTGATTATCGGGGGTCGTATGCGATCTTCATTGACTTACGGTTGAAGAAAAGAGTAGACCGCCAGCAACAGTTAGGCTAAGACACGGTTGATTCTTAGTTGTTTGAGAGTATGCAGTCAATAGAGACGCAGAGACACTCAGAGAGCGAGCGGCAGCCACGCAGCCGCAGTCGCGAAGGCGGGAAACCGCCATGTGGCTACTGGTTTACCATCGTTCAGAAGTATGGGATGGGTTTCAGTAGCACACTTCTAGTGCCCTTGACAGGGACTCCCTGATGGCCATGAGGACCTCCATTTCTTACACATCAAGAATTTCACCTCTGAAGTAATCGAGGAAAGGGGGGGGGTGCAAAGAGCGGAGGGTAATAAAACTCGGAAGTGGTACTTCACAGTCTTGTTCGCTGCAGACGCTGGGGGAAGTTAGGTGTACTGGGCGTGGTACGGTGTCAACCAGTTCTGCAAAAATTGTGGAAACTGGCACGCTATTACAATCGATGGAAAACTGGCTGGCGCCGCGCCAAATTTAGCTCCCTTGAAACGCTGCACCCTCTGCAGCGAACAAGTGTGATCGCATGATAACTCAACTGTCTTGCTATCCCAAATTACAGATCGTATTCCATTACTTTGTTAAAATGCTTATAAATCAGAGTCCACACAGTCGGTATCTGTGGCTCCGATGTTCACTTCTGGACCCATGGTGCCATTGGGAATTTCGTCGTCAAGGAGCCGATGGTGAGCTTTTGTTAGGGGATTTGAACTTCTGGTGCCGTTCGCCTCAAGGGGTGGCAACCTGGTAGTTCTCTGGTATCCTCGGTTATCTCACCTTGACGGGTGTTAACTCTTGTG